CACACCACATCTCCTTTCCTCACAGAGAAGCTGTACAACTCGCAAGGGCCAGAGCTGCGGCGATCCCTCTTCTCCCTGAAGCAGCTCTTTCAGGTATGGTGATGTCAGTGCAGTGGGAGTGCTGGGGGGCTCCTCCAGGGCTGCTGCCCGCCCCACACTGCAGGAACACCTGGCCTTCTCCCTGCAGGAGGACAAGGACCTGGTGCCAGAGTTTGTGAACCTGGATGGGTTGACGTGCCTGATCAAAGTGGGGGCAAAGGCCGACCAGAACTACCAGAATTACATCCTCCGAGGTTGGTATTGGGGCACAGGGCACTCTGGAGCAGGTTACCTAAAGATGCTGTGGATGCACCATCCTTAAAAGTGTTCAAGACTAGGTTGGCTAGGGCTTTGAGCAGTCTGGTCTAGTGGAAAGTGTCCTTGCCTATGGCAGGGGAGTTTGAGCTAGATGCTCATTAAGGTCCCTTCCAGCCCAAGCTTTTTCTATGCCTCTATGCTCATCCCCAGGGAGGAAGGCTTGTGCTTGGTGGGGCAAGCCAGCAAGTTTTCCTGGGCTACTTTGCCTTCACATCTGCCAGACCTTGCCCTTGCTGTGATGATGCTGTGCAGGGATGGGAATGCCCAACCCATGCCTGCCATGCCATCAGCCTGCCCACTCTCTGCATTGCAGCCTTGAGCCAGATCATGCTCTTCATGGACGGGATGCAGGGTGTCATCAACCACAACGAGACCGTCCAGTGGCTGTACACGCTGTCGGGAAGCCCAGTAAGTGCCTATTGCCCTTGAGGGGCTGTCTGTGCCCATCACTGCACCCTGCTTCACTGCCTGTGGCTGTCCCCTTGCACCATCCCTCAGAGGATGAACTCCACTGTCTACCTCTGGGCTCGGTGCCCTGGTACCTTTGCTTGTGTTGGGTCCTGCTCTCAGCCATCTGGAAGTCACCCACCATATCCAAGAGCTCCCTGTCCTGATGTGACTATGTTCCTGTGCACAGAGCTTGAGTAAGACAGTCCTGCTCCCTTCCCAGTGCTCCTTGGCCATCAGCATCACACCTGCAGGTCCCTGGCCCCATGGCAAAGCTCCCAGTCCTGGGGCGTGGGCACAGTCACCCCACAGTGTCCCAGCATCACACTGGCAGCCTCCTGCCACTCCTGCTATCCCAGCCGCTGTCCCTTGTCCCAGTATCGCCTGGTGGTGAAAATGGCACTGAAGCTGCTCCTGGTGTTCGTGGAATACACGGAGCCCAACGCATTGCTCCTCATCCGCGCCGTCAATGCTGTGGACCAGGCAAGAGGTGGGTGCAGCCCCAGCCTCCTGCTAGGTCTCTGCTGGGGGACGGTGTCCCCTCTTGGCCTGCATGTCACATGCCACTTTTCCTAGGTGCCTGTCCGTGGTCCAACCTAATGGCCATCCTGGAGCAACGCAACGGGGCTGACACGGAGCTGCTGGTGTTTGCCATGACGCTGATCAACAAGGTCTGGGGGGGGTGTCACCACAGTGCCATGCTAGTGGGGCTAAGTGTGGGTCACCCCTGTCCCAGCAGCATCCTTCTGGTCCTGCTCAGACACTGGCAGCTCTCCCGGACCAGGACACCTTCTACGATGTGACAGACTGCCTGGAGCAGCAGGGCATGGAGCAGGTCGTGCAGCAGTACCTGAGCAGCAAGGGCACCGACCTTGACTTGAAGCAGCAGTTCTCACTCTACGAAGTGAGTAGGGCTCCCATGAGATCTGGCCACATGCCACATCCAGTGGTAGCAGGGAGGGTGGGAGTGTGGGGTGGCAGGGGTGCTGCTGTGCCCAGTGCCACATCTCCTGGTTCCTCCACAGAGTGCTCTCAAGCTGGAGGATGACGTAGAAGAGCTGCCCTCGGGGGAACGCAAGGAGCGGAGGAGGACGGATGAGGGCCGGCGTGGGCAGCAATCCCAGGGCAGCTGCCCAGAGCCTGGTGCCAATGCTCAGCCACTTCTAGGGTCCCCTAGCACTCCAAAGGAGCACCCAGCTGAGGACATGATGGCTGTTCCTATGCCGAGCAGCCCAGCAGAGTAAGTGCAGCTGGAGGTGGTCTATGGTGGGGATGCTCTCCGGACGGTGAAGACACTAGGATGCAGCATAAACAGCACCCAAATTCATTGCTGGTGCCAGAGGTGGAGAGCAGCCCTGCAGGACCTGCTCTCAGTTTCTGTCACCTCTTCTTCCAGACCCTGTCCCACCAGCATCTACAACAGCACATCCAGGGTGCAGCTGGCCCTGGCCTCCCCTCCAGCTGAGAAGGAGCAGCCACTGGGACCAGGAGAGCGCAGCATCTACAAGTAAGGAGCCAAGAGGGGCTGGGTGCATGGGGGTCCCACTGGGGAGGCAAGATGGGCTTCCAGGAGCATGAGATGTGCCTATTCCAGGGCACATTCTGCCTTTCCCAGAGGGAAACAGAGTCCGGGAGGGCACCAAGGCTGGAGAGGTGTGTGGTGGGGCAGCAGGTATCAGAGGGTCCAGCCAGGGGCTCCAGGGCATCCTCTGGGCACGCACAGCTCTGCTCCAGCTCCTCCTCATTCTCCTCTCTGCCCACGCTTGCCCTCTCCTCTGCCCACTCTTTCTATCTTTCTATCTTTTGCAGGCTGCACCAAACTGCCCCAGTCTGGTAAGTGCCTGAGCTCTGCACGCGCATGCTACCTCCCATCATGATCATAGAATTCAGGATCCTGGAATGGTTTGGGTTGGAAGAGACCTTAAGGATCATCCAAACCCTCCTGCCATGAGCAGGGACATCTTCCACTAGACCAGGTTGCTCAGAGCCCTGTCCAACTTGGCACTGAATACCTGGCCTTAAACACTTCCAGGGATGGGGCAGCCACAGCTTCTCTGGGCAGCCTGTGCCAGTGCCTCACCACCCTCACAGGGAAGAATTTCTTCCTAATATCCAATCTAAACTTGTCCTCTGTCAGTTTGAAGCCATTCCTCCTTATTTTATTAATTCCCCCTTGTCCTATCCTATGATGCTCTGAGGGGAGCACTTGCACCCACCTCTCTGTTCCCATCCCTCATCTCTCCCCTCTGAGCCCTGCTGGTGGGACCACAACCTGCTTTCCCCACCACCAGCATCTCCCACGGGATGATGGCACCCTGTGATTCCCCCTTCAGGGTGAGGTGTCCCTGCTAGGGCTGGCACAGACCGTTCCAGGTGTCCTGGCCTGGTGGGGGAGACAGTGACACATCTAACCAGAACCCAATGCCACATGATGCCTGGGCAGGAGGGGACTTGCCAGGGCTCTCCCGACTCCCCGTGAACCATGGGGTGATGGCAGGGTGAGGGTCCCATTCTGGAGGGCTGCCAGGTGGGTGTGTACAGGAGACACGAGCCCCAGGGGCTGCTGGCAGTGGGGGCTAACCCCTGTTTTCCCTCAGGCGGGAGGATGCTCCCTCCTTGCATGGGGACAAGCCTATTTTGAGGAAGTTTGAGTAAGTAGAGGCATGCGTGTGTCTCCAGGCATGTGCTTCCTGGGGCCAGTGCCCGGCCACAGGTGTCTGGGCTCCAGCCACACAGGGCATGAGGAGCAGGAGGATCCCCTTGAGTGTCTGTCTGGGCACCCTCCTGGGCTTTGCAGCTTTTAGATGAGGGTTGCAGTGAGCATCAGGTCTATTGAGACCAACTGGTGACAAGGGTACCCTGAGAGGCATGAGCCTTTGGCTCCCATGGGTCTGTAGCATCCCTGTCCCTGAGCCATGGTGGCATCACCTGTGTCTCTGCAGGGCTCAGAGGAGGTTGAATTCTCTGGGTCCTAAATGTGGTGTGGCCAGTGCAGGAGGTTTCTGTGCTATGGGGCTGGCTGTGCAGTGTGGCATGGTGTGGTTTGCCCATTACCCCCATCCCTGCCCTGTTCCCAGCCAACATCCACCCCTGTCTTGCAGAGCTCGCTTTTTGGAGAACCTGGCTGCAGCCCAGAAGGAGAAGATCTCTTCCATGGCCAAGGAACGGCCTGATATCCTTGGTGATGTTACCCTGGAGCGTCCTACTGGTCTTGAATGGGACAGAGACAGCAGTACCTCTGATTCTGGGATGGAGCTACCCAGCATGAGTAGGTGCTGCCAGGGTGTAGGTGCTCTCAGCTCCGGACTCATCGGAGTCCCTGGGATGGGGGGTTGTGGCCCCTCTACCCTCATCTCATGCCTGTGATACCCAGAGGCATGGAGGAGTTGGGTGGTACCTCCCCTCCAAATGCCAGCATCCAAGCACACCCCACCAGGGGCCAGAACCTCAACTCTACGTGAAGCCCAGCACCTCCTGCCCACTCCAAGCAGGTTATCCTAGCTTCTCCCTCTCTCCCTGCAGGGTCTCGTCTGGCTCAGTCTGACACCACTGACTCCTGCAGCACCATCTCCTCTGACACCAAATTTTTACTGGACATGCTCTGTGCCAAGGGCTCCTCAGAGTCAGGGATGGAGAAGGTTTTCCTCCAGGCTGAGGCAGAGATGGGCACCAAGGGAGGTAGCAGCCAGGAGCAGGAGAGTGCCTGGCCCCATGGCAGGGCTCCAGATGGGCCAGTGGCCAGCGCCCATGCCAAGCTGGCACGTGCCATGTCCAGCATAGATGCCGAGACCCACACACAGAAGCTGGAGAACACTGGGATGATGCCCATCAAGGACATGGAGCTGATATGGGAGCGCCTAGAGGCCAGCCCCGGACAGCTAAAAATCAAGGACCTGGACTTCACTGACTTGGGAGAAGAAGAAGATTTCGACATCCTGGACAGTGGGCCGATGGCCAATGGCTCCTTCTTCCATCCTGGCATTGAAGCAACAAGTGCTGGAACAAACATGGTTCCCCCTCCACCTCCTGCCATCCCTGGTTGCCCACCACCTGCACCTCCACCTCCTGCCATCCCTGGTTGCCCTCCACCTCCACCTCCTGCGGTCCCTGGCTGCCCGCCCCCACCAGGTCTGCCAGGCCTCTCAGCAACAGATAGCCCCTCTCAGACAAAGAAGAGGACAGTGAAGCTCTTCTGGAAAGAGCTGAAGCAGTTGGATGGCAGTGTGGGGCATGGCAGGTTTGGCCAGGGGACACTGTGGGCATCCCTGCAGAATGTCGAGGTCAATGCTGCCAAACTGGAGCATCTCTTTGAGTCAAGGTCAAAGGATGTGCCAACATCAAAGGTACTGACAGGCTGGCACCCGTCAGCCAAGGGGACTTGAGGGGTAGGAAGAATGCTTTTGGTTCCTGTGGGGACCCTTGACATACACTGTCACCCTTACCCTATGCCAAGGATGGGTACTGGCAGCCTGGGGAGTTGGTGGGGGATGCGTAGTGCACAGGTTTGGCTCACCATGGGGTCTGTGGTCAGCTCCCTGTGTCTATAATGAGTTCATGAAGGTTAGCCCTTTGCCTGGCTGTTCTCATTCATCTTGTTCTCTTTGCAGAAGGCCATCGATGGGAAGAAGGTGGTGGTGGTGCTGGACCCTAAGAGGAGCAATGCCATCAACATTGGCCTTACAGTACTGCCACCTGTCCACATCATTAAGACCGCCGTGCTCAACTTTGATGAGTTTGCAGTCAATAAAGAAGGGATTGAGGTGAGCATTGGAGAAGCTCAGCCCCTCTGAAGTCCTCATGTGGGTCATTTCCCCTGCCCAGGAGATCTCTATACCATGACGCCTGAGGGGATGTGTCCCATGATGACATGTCTAGAGCTTGACACATCCCTCTTTCTCTGCTCTAGAAAATCCTGACCATGGTCCCAACCGAGGAGGAGAAGCAGAAGATCCAGGAGGCCCAGTTGGCCAATCCTGATGTACCCTTGGGCTCTGCAGAGCAGTTCCTGCTTTCCCTATCTTCCATCAGTGACCTCACTGCCAGGCTCCAACTCTGGGCCTTCAAGCTGGACTACGAGAGCCTGGAGCAGGTACGGAGCAATGTACTCCGTCTCCCTTCCGCTCTCCCATCGCTGCCGCCCCAGCAGTGCTTAGCACTGAGCTAAGCATGTTCCTGGTGGAGAACATGCACAGGAGGTGCCATCCTGGCTGGGGATGGGCTGCAGGTCTCCAAGGCAAGCATGGGCTTGGGTTGACCATGAGGTGGTAGCCTTCATGAGTGAATGCTGAAGTTCCCAAGGGAGAGGGTGACCAAGGGGTGTCACCTGCCTCTCTCCTCACCCAGGAGATCGCAGAGCCGCTATTTGATCTGAAAGTGGGCATGGAGCAACTGGCCAGAAATCACACCTTCAAGTGCATCCTAGCCACACTGCTGGCCATGGGCAACTTCTTGAATGGTTCCCAGGTGAGGAGCAGGGTGAGGACCAGTCATGGTGCATGGGTACCCAGGAGGGACCATGGGGAGCCTGGGATGGTGCCTGAGGCTGGGTGGTGCTGGTGGAGACCCAGTGGGTCTGCAGACTAGAGGTCTGCTGGAGGAGGGAAGAAGAGGCCCTTCTGAATCCACTGGGTTTCAGAGCAGAGGCTTTGATCTGGGCTACCTGGAGAAGGTCTCGGAAGTGAAGGACACAGTGCACCGGCAGTCCCTGCTTCACCATCTCTGCCAGATGGTGGTGGAGAAGTTCCCAGAAACCACTGACCTCTACTCAGAGATTGCCTCCATCGCTCGCTCCGCCAAGGTGAGGCAAGGCAGGTGACACCTGGGCAAGGAGAGGGTGTGGGTCCCGTGGCTGCCCAGCTCCACCAGCATGGCTGAGGGCTGACATCTTGCTCTTCCAGGTTGACTTTGAAGAGCTAGCCAACAGCCTGGTGCAGCTGGAGCGGAGGTGCAAGGCCTCCTGGGACAACCTGAATGTGATTGGCAAGCATGAGATCAAGCCAGCGGTGAAGACCAAGCTGTCAGAGTTCCTCCATGACAGCACCCAGCGCATCATCGTCTTGAAGGTGGTGCACAAGCGCATCCTCAACAGGTTGGTGGCTTGAGATCCTGGGGACATGGCAGGAACCCTACAGTCCTATTGGTGGCCCACCATGACTGAGTTTCCCATAGGTTTCACTCCTTCCTGCTGTACCTGGGGTACCCGGTGAGTGCAGCACGGGACGTGAAGGTGACATCCATCTGCAAGCTGCTGCGGGAGTTCGCCCTGGAGTATCGCACCTGCTGGGAGCGCATCCTGCAGCAGCAGAGGAAACGGGCTGCCCACCGTGAGCGCAGCAAGACCCGGGGACGGCTCATCACTGAGGTACAGGGATGCTCAGCCAGATGCCACCAGATGGGGATGCCCCCCAGATCCCTGACACCCACCTCTCCTCCTGTTGCAGACCAAGAAATTCTCCGGCATTGCTGAGGCTGTTTTGCCACCTGCAGTGGTGTCCAGCAGCCCCAAGGAGCAGATGGAAGCAGGTCACGAGAGCATGAAGAGTGTACTGACCTCCCACATGGACATCCCTGCCCGCCGCAGCCGGGCCAGCCAAGGCAGGAGCAGCATGGCAAATGGACTCAAGGCATGCCCGGTTAGCTGGACACGGCTGATGCCAGCATCCTTCTTGTCCCCATGCAGGAACAGGGCACGTCACCCCAACCCAGGGCTCTCCAGCCCAGGAGGATGTTTCCGGCTCTCCAGCCCAGGAGGATGTTTCCAGCTCCCCAGATGATGCTTCAGATGAAATCATGGACCGGCTGGTGAAATCGGTGACTCACAATGCCAATCCCCGGCCCTGCGCCAACAAGGAGCGCAGGAGGTCCCGCGGCAATAGGAAATCCTGTAAGTCCCATCCCTGTCCCTGTGCCATCTCTGTCCACATGCTCTGTCCCATCTCTATGTCCCTGTCCAATCTCTGTCCCTGTCCAGATGCTTTTTCCCACCTCTGCGTCCCTGCCTCTTAGCTTCTCCCATCTCTCTCTCTCTGTCCCATCTCTGTATCTCTCTTCCCATGCTCTGCCCAGTTCCTCCTTCCCCCTCTGCTCAGTTCCCAGTCTGTCTCATCCCATTCCCTGTCCGTCTTCTGTCCTGTCTTCATGTCTCTGTGCTCTGTCCCCATGCCTTTTCCTATCTCTATGTCCTTGTTCCCATGCCCTGCCTGGCTCCTGCCCCATGAACCACCCATGACCTCACATGCTGAGCCCACCAGGCCACAGTAGATTGTACCCTAAGACCAGACCCATTGCCATCCTCCCCAGCATGCCAGGGCTGCCGTGCCTGGGCAGGTACCCAGTGTATGTGGACCCTGTCACCAACACTGCTCATGCTGCCAGTGCCACACTTTCCTCTATCTGCAGTGCGACGGACACTGAAGAGCGGACTCAGCGATGACCTGGTGCAGGCGCTGGGCCTGGGACAGGTGCCTGACATGAAGGTTTGAGGAGATTGAGAGGGCTCATGCTGCTCCTCACCACCAGCAGTCACAGGGCAGGACGTGGTGGCAGCCCCTGTGGCTCCAGGATTGACACACTCCACACCCTTGGTCTCAGCTTGCTTTTCCCTGCTGACCTCCAGCTCTGGAGGTGCAGGCAGCAGGATGGGAGTGATGCTCCAGAGCTGCTCCATGGTGACTGGGATGGAGGATGCTCAGCGCCTGTGCATGGAGGCTGAGGATTCATCTTCTCAACAGTATTAGAGGGGTCAAGGGGCTGGACCCAGACACCCTCTGGGAACTGGGTCTGGTCCGTGGCCACTGTGGCAATAAAGCAATCTGACATGCTGCCAGCATTCCTTGTCACTGTACCCAAGAGGCTGGAGTGATGTGGTACTCCACCTGGCCAAGCCAGTGTCCCTCCACCCGCAACCCCAGCCCTGCTGCCTGGGGCAAACACTCAGCCAGCCCTGTGGCTTGCAGGCACCATCATCCCTCTGGGGACAGTGCAATCCCCTCTGTACCGGGACAGCCATCAGACCTTTCCAGAAGGAGCAAGGACTGCTGTCAGGCTCAAGGCAGCACACTCAAGGGCAGGAATGGTGGCTTGAGCACAAGGCCACAGCACAGTAAAATTGTCTCATACCAAAACTCTTCATTACAAACCTCTCCTGGGGGATTTTAGCCAGACCCAGACGTGGGTCAGAGGCTGGGTGGTTGTGCCCCTCCAGGAACAGGTCCAGGACATAGCAGCCACGTTGCCTCCAGCTGCAAGCCTCGGAAACATCTCCCTGTGCTCGGCAGAGACAGACTGCCTGATGCTATAAATGCAGTGAGGGCAGCATCCACCTGTCCTCATGGGGGACTGTGAGACATCCGTGTCACCTGTCCCAGCATGGCTCATACCGTCCCAGACGGATTAAACCCCACATGGCATGCCAGCTGTGATGCTCCACATGGGTGGGTACCACTTTTGAGTATCCCTCTCTGCCAGCTGCAGTACTTTGGGCACTACTGCCTGTGGTACAGGCATTTGGGGACGGTGTCATGTTGTCCATCCATCACAGCAGCTCCACCTTGGTGCTGCCCTGGTGCTGCCTCCAGCCCTGAATCCTGCACAGCAGGTCCCTGTGGCTTTCAAGGAATGAAGAAAAACTCCACCAGCTAGGATAACTTCTTCCTTCTGACTATCTCTGCCCAGGGTTGTCCCTCTCCGACAGAGGTGGATGTGCTGGTGGCCTTGGACGAGCTGAGCTGCACCAGCCTGGCCCAGCTTGTGGCATGTCTGAGATGTTCCTGTGTGGCTCTGGTGACAGCAAGATACCATGCTAGGAGCTCTCCTGTCCTCTGGGTGAGAGACCCCTTAACTTGAAGCTGCAAAAAGAGGACAAAGAGGTTATGATAGGCAGCACTGAGCCACAGCAGGAAAGAGAAAGGGGTGGGAAAGCATCTTCCTGATTCCCTGCACCTGCCCCAGGTACCTAAAGTGACATTACACATATGACAACTCCCAGGATTGTTGCTCCTGAAGGCTTCCTGGGAGAAACTGAGGTAGGGTGCTGGGGAATGTGTGTGTGTGTGTCCAGTACCCCCGAGCAGTTTGGTGGCACTTGGATAGCCATGTGCTCAGCAAAAGCCTCTGCCAACCCATTTGGATTTTTCCACCAGGTTTTTTTTTTATTCAGCCTTGATGGTATTTCCAGGATTCCCAGCCCGGCCCTGGGTACACACTGCCCTTGAGCGGCGCCTGAAGTGCTTGGCTTGGCCGCGGCACAAGTGGCTTATGCCAAATATACCACGGGCAGGGGCAGACCCCCGGGAAGGAAAGAGGGTGACGGGATGCTGGAGGCACCTTAGAGAGTGGAGACAGGTTCGTGGCAGTCACGCAAAGCTTGGTGGAGACCTGGGGCACCCGTGGCCTCCGGCAGCA